TGAGCTAATTACCTCTCGGTCTCATAGTCTAGCACACAGTTTATATTATTATTGGTCTAATCTACGCAATTCTTTCTCAAGTTCATGCATAAATCACTAAATCAATTGAAAGGTGATCAGACTTCCAATGCATTAAGTTTAATAATATAAACTCCTCATGCAAATAACTTTAATTGAAAACATAAAATCACAAAATCTATATTGAATTGATTAAATTACATCGTAACCCTAGTAGAATAAATCAATTCATAATAAAAATAATAAAATCTAAAATCACAATTATGAATAAGGAAGAATAAAACCCAATTTGAGAAAATTGCAATTCTTGATCTCCTATTGTTGAATCCTCAATCTTGACCTCCAAGAATGCCCAAAAGAGCGCTGCCACTAACCTCTCAAAAACTCCTTTAATTCTGAATTTAGATGGGTATTTATAGGATTTTAAAAACCCTAGTTGAAATAGAAGTAAAACTTGGAACAGAAATAGGAAACTAAATTTTGGATGCAGATCGCGTGGTGCTGACACTTCGGATTACGTGTTGACACAAAATAAGAAACAAAATTTGATTCTCGACGTTTAACACATGGGATCGACACCCCGATCATGTGTCGACACTACACCCGTGTTGGGTTTCTGGTCTCCTTTTGCAATTTCTTCAATGGTAAAATAGCAGATTTGGTTTTTGACTTCTAGATTCTGCACAGGTTGATCCTCAAGTCTCTGATCTCTTCAATTTACTTTTAAAAAGTAAGATTTCTTTCAATTAAATCCTTTCCTATACAAAGGATGAAAACCTTGTAAAATCAAACAAAATCCCATAAAACTCATCCAAATATCAATAATATCAAAGTAAAAATTCCCTATTAATATGTATATAAATTTAGCTAATCAGTAGTCTTGTATATATCTACTTTTTCGTTAAATCTTAGATAATAGTTTAGTTAAAAATAATTCATAACATGGTGCCTATGGCGTGGATCCCCACTTCTATTTTTTTTGGTTAAAAACATGATTTAATGGGAAATAATGGATTGGTTTTCAAAGAGAGAGAGAGAATAGATTATAAGAAGGATTTCATTGAAATGTTTAAGGGGACGGGGATTCTATTGGGGTGAAAAAATGGTTTGAGACTCAATCAACATCCCAATATAGATTTGTGGATGAAATTAACATAAAAAATGTTTTTCTTTTTTCCATTTTTTCAATCCGATTTGCATGTAATTTGAGATGTGGGAACATTTAAATATACTCTAACTATATAAGATTCATTAAGAGCACTTAATACTTTTATAGCCTGAACTACCAAAAAGGTCCACCGTTCATTTCTTTTATATATATATATATAATACAATTTAAACTGAAAAACACCGTTCTTAATTTAACAATCAACAATTTAACATTTAGAGGAAAATTGAAAGGGCTTTGTGGGCTCAAAAGAATTTATTGGGTCTTAAAAATATTAAAGCCTGGCTATCAAGTGTCAAACCCATTGGGCCTGGTCCTCTCAGTCTTTAGTTTATTTTTCGGAATTAATTAAATCAAGTATTATAGCGCTAATTCCATTCCTGTGTCTTCCAAAACACGCGTCGCAGAATCGCTAACGTCGCGAAGGAAATCGACGATATCTCTGCAAACCCTCGATGAAGTTCTTCTCCGATCAAAAGCTCTGCTATGCCGGTATTCTTCTTCCACTCATGAGGTAATTCTCGTTTCCTTCCTTCATCGAATCATCAAGCTATTCAGCCTTTCTCTCTCAGAACGATATTTCTTTCAGGTTCGATCCAGGATCCTAGTTGCAGTCCCCAATTTCTTCAAGATCTTGAACTGTTCCGTTCCGTCGATCTTACACCTTCCTCTGGTAACAACAGTTTTCCTTAATTCTCAACTATTAATCACAGTCTTTGCGACCTTAAGGATTGAATTCCCTTAGAAGGCCAGAATCTCGCATAACAATTATTTTTTGTGTAAACTTTGTCTGTTTGGACGATGAGAAACCGGCCGGAGGAAAGTCTGTGATTTCTGTGTTTCAGTGTGGTTTTGATTTCCTAAGATATAGTTTTCTTTCTTGAATTTGTTATGGGTTAATAATCACAGATTTTTGCTAAATTTCCCTATGACACTTACAATCACGCGTAATAGTTAGGGTTTTGTGTATTTTCTGTCTAAACTAAAGCGCTCATAATCACTAGTAATATTTAGGGTTTTGTGTATTTTTTTTGTCTAAAACGCCTGTAATCACGCATGATAATTCGTTTCTGTTTATTTTGACAGATGATAAATGTTGCTCGAATTTGATATAGCCGAGGAATATTGACTGGTCCTTGATGAGAGCAAACGCTTCTAAAGAAATAGAGGTATTATTCATGATCTTTGCACCTTTTTGTTCTTCTAAGAATAAGTTTGATCCATAGGCTTGACTGAAAATTAGTTTCCTGTTCTTATTCCTTTTTTTAATGCACTGT